CGGTCACCCCGGCTTGAGAGGCCTGTTGACCGAGGATATGTGTCACAGTTATGACCTGCAGCTAAGATGTCTAACATTAAGGGGACGCACTGATCATTCAGTTATGTGCCATCACGTGTTACACGCTTGGGCGATCATAGGTCTTTCGATACATAACTGACTAGGCAGATAATTTTTTTCCACAGTAGGTTGCCATTTCTTTCTGCGGTAGACCAGTTGCCATCCAAGGCTAAAGAACCCGGTCTGTCTTGCTATTCAACCCATAGCTTTTGAGAAAAGATGAATTCATACATTTCCCAAGGGAATTTGTGTGTAAGTTCAATATAACGAACTCAACTCGAACTCGGCTCTCAGATTTCTCATTACTAACCGATAACAGACTGACACTTGCATTAGGAAAGAAACTTTTTTTCTGAGTGAACCAAAACAGAAATATGACTGAGTCATGTGTGCTATTGAGTGTTCCTATGAAAAAAAGCAGACCATTTAGCCATTGTTCATTGCCTGATGAATATTAAGTATCTCTAAAGGAACGTAACTCTATCTTCAAGTCGATAATTAGCCCAAGGGAGGTAACTCTGTATCCATGTAAGAATTAATTGTCAAGGGAAGCAACTCAGTTATACTTATTCCTGTTAAATGGCGATACTACTACAGGATACAATAATTTAATTAACCTACTTCATTTAATCAGGAAAGGGCCGTGATAAATAAATAAATAATGTTTTTGTTAATTAGCGACATTTTTACTCGAGAGTAGTTGTTTAACACTGCTTCTAGTAATGTTTATTTGGATAAAACAGCATCGCATTTGTAATGGAACTATCCGCCCCAAAACAAACAAAAAATTATAACAAAAACAAAACAATTTCACTAAAAAAACAACAACCAAAAGTAAAAAAATAAATAACATAAAGTAATGAATAAATAAACATTTAAAATTAAAAAATAAATAAATGATATAAACAAAACATGGTTATTCTTTTTATGTCTTTCAGATTTTCAGCACATCAGTCCATTTTTTTTGTTGAAGTCGATTTTTCGAAATCAAGGCTGATTTATTGTTTTTATAGTTTGGTTATTTTAGAGTTAAGCTCCAAAACAAAAGTGAATGTTGAATTAAAAAGAATAAAAACTTCTAATTCCAACGGATAATTTATTGTTAAAACAGATATATTTCGGAAAGCTTTTGCAATTAATATAAATTAAATTTAAAATTAGAAAATCTTCTTTTAAAAGTATTTATTTAGCAGCTAAATTTATTTTTATCGGTACTGTTATACGGCATTTCCTTTTTTATTAAAAGAAGCATCTCAAGAGACTATCGTGTCCACTAGGATGGGCAGCCAATCCCTCTTACAGACGCTTGCCCAGGCACATTTGTATTTCTTCAACTTCCATAGAGTCACAATTTTTTTGAGAGAGCAGTTGAATAAGGCTGAAGCTCTCGGTCACGATGACTTGTGACTTTGTGCTAGCACAGCATCGAGAGCCTTCCAGAGTTTTGCATACTTAATATTACTCACAAGGCTTGGGTCAACTCGTGATATTGCTTGCAGGCACGATGGGATCATTTCCTGGGGACGATCTTGTCAAGAAGTGAAGTCCTTGAGATTCGAATCCAGGTTCCATAGTTTAACGCGAACTCTCTAACTACTTGACCACGCGTCCATTTTTAACAATTGTATATAATAGTCAATCAGTTATGTGCCATGCGTGATACACACTTCAGCGATCATGTATGTTTCGATACATGACTGACGAGGCAGATTTTTTTTTCCGTTTCTTTCTGCGGTAGACCAGTTGCCATCCAAGGCTGTAGAATCCGGCCTTTCCCGCTATTTACCCATAGCTGAGAGGAGAAGAAGAGGATTCATATCTTTGCCAAGGGTATTAGCACGTAAGTGAATATAATGGATTCGACTGGAATTCGAACTCCGATTCCTCAATCCGAGCTGCTATCGATTACCCCATCGTGCCTCCTCAAATAAATAATAACTAGCTTGTAATTATGTTTTTAGATTTGTTCCCTTTATGGGCTGGTTGGCTGGTGTTCCCTTAGCACTGATGCCATTATTTTCAACACCTAAATTAGAAAAATGATGCCACCTTTTTTATTTTCAAAACCTAAATGAAAATTTTCTCGAAAAAATATTTACGCCAAAATGAAAGGCTATTTTACGCCTTTTTTTGGATAAGTGGTTTAATATTCATGAAAATGTCTGCATTGTTTTTCATCACTTGAAAATTTAGGAAAAAATATTTAAAAAGAAAGTCCAACAAAGAAACGGAAAAAAAAACGATATAAGATATATGGAAATTATTTAACGAATTTACAAAGACATTCGTGTGTGGAAATGAATGTTGTCAGTATCTCGTTTCAGGAAAATAAATCCGCTGAAATTCGAAATGAAAAAAAAGAGGATGAGAGAAAGTCCATAGTTTTAACGTATTGTGAACAATTTGGAAGAGGAAATGTTCATAAAATAAATATCTGACATAAAATAATATTAAAAAATGATTAAGGAATTTATTAACGAATTTACACGCTTGAAAAGACAGTACGTTTGAAAAATAAATCAGAATTTGTCCATAGTTTTAACGTATTGTCACGGATATATGGTTTAAAATAAATATTCATAAAAAAATTAAAAAGACGAAAGTTAAGAGATAGGGATAGATAGATAGATAGATAGATAGATAGATAGATAGAGAGAGAGAGAGAGAGAGAGAGAGAGAGAGTTTGAAATACTTAGTTTTCTTGGATTGTTAAGAGAAAATTCTTTGAAGTGATGAATGCTGGGTAAAGGCCGATAATATAATTGGCGAGTACTTCAACGCTGGTTGGGAGGAACTGAAACGAAATCTTTCACATGACTTCAGACACACTTCACGTTAATTCAATTTTTTTCCTCATTTTATATAAAATTCTTTTGCCTAGGTTCGCTACTTTCTTTCCTTCTTTTTCTATGTCCCCGGCCAATTTCAGTGAAGTCAAGGTTTTCATTGGTCCAAAAACAATTTCACATAGGCTCACCAATTTCTTTTCTTCTTCTTCCTCAGTTCACTGGTTAATTTCCATGAAAGGCAAAAATCTCGCATAGGCTCGGGAATTTCTTTCTTCTTCCTTGGTTATCCGAATTTGAAGGGAGTGGGTAAAGGGAGTTAATATTTATTTTGCATTCACTACAAAATAGTCACAAATATTTTTCGTCTCAGCTCTTTTTTTTTGTTTGAGTGTAACCCTCTACTGTTTTGAAAAATGGTTTTTGGTTTCAGTCGTGAGGTCTGGTATTGGTGAGAAGTACATTTGTTATGTGTAATTATATAGACATTAAGTTTAGCCTGATACACGGCCACAAATATGGAGCACTCAGTGAGGACCGAATCCACTACATTATTTATGGTTTACGATATTAACTTGTAAACCTTTGCTTGATAATGAGAAGTCGAAATGGAATTTCGTATTTTGTACTCATCGGAGAGACATCTTTTATTCGATTTAGTCTTATCGAATTCTGGTTGTCATAGTTTCACACTGAACGAGTTTGCAAATTGAATAAAAATCCTTCCTTATATATATTTTTTTATTTTTATAAAAAAAAAAGAAAAATGAAAAAAAAAAAAAAATGCTGCACATCGCCGAAGAATTTGTAGGTGAAGAGGATGGTTGTCATCACTAGTTTAAATTTGATTTAGATCTCCACATTCATTGACCCAAGCGTTTCTTGTTTCTTTCATCAAAACATTGCATTTTTCTTCATCCTGCTTTCATGCAACAAACTAGGCCTCCTTCTAAATAAAAAAAAACTACCCCCGCAAGAATAAACTAAGAGACCTATTTTTAATTTTTATTCTATCTCCAGTATATACGTGAAAGTACTGAAAAATTCTGGGCCCAATTGATTTCTTTAAATCTGACTAAATGGCCGAACATTAATAATGTGAGAATTTCTTGGCTTCTTGATTGTACTGAGAACTTTTCAGAACTGACTCATAAAATTTTGTATCGGCGGTTAAAATGATTTTAACATTACATTTTAAAATGACAAAGATAAAAAATAAATTAAATATATTTTTTTATAATATGTTTCTATGTGTCTCCTCCTCTTAAAATTTTAAACGAACAGAATCCTATGTTAAAATGTCGAAGTGGAGGGAAGACTTGAATCAGATGTTAAAAGTGGTGGTGGTGGGACTAAATCAGATATTAACATTTAAATATTCTTCGTTCTGGATATTATTTTATCTGATACTTTCATGAAATGAATCATTTTTAGATCACTTATCCTATTGCAAATATGTTTTTGTTTTGATTTTAAGAGTACATTATTTTTTGTTTCGCCTGTACTGAATTTTTGGAATGAGACCGAGAAAAAAAATTTCCACATCGGAAGCCGAACTACCGTCAGTCACGATAAACGAATGTCCCCCCCCCCAGGGAGGCTCCGGGCCTTGGGAGACTATTGGGCCTTAAACTCACCCCTGACCTCAAATGGAACTCGTAGATACGATCGCTAAACATACAGGAAAAATGGTCGGTTTCTCAATCGCTATAGTAAGTACCTGACTCCTCGTGCTATCCTCGACTTTTATAAGAGTCAGATCAGGCCAAAAAGTACTGTTGCCATATTTGGGCTGGAGCTGCCCCAGTCTTCACTTTCCAGTCGTGATAGAGTTTAAAAGCGTCTCCGAGTCCTTGTTGGAGGAGAATTATTTTCCACCCGCCAACCTCTCTCTCTCACAGGGGGGGGGATGTGGCGAGTCTCTCACTGCTCTATCGCTACTTCCATGGAAAATGTTCGATCGAACTGCAATTCCTTGGCTCAGCCAGGTCTAACCTTTACGGCTAGAACCATTCCATGCCACTCAGATTGTAGCAAACCACTCACATTCTCTCCGTATTCCATTTAGAAGCTAATGTTTTGAAAAGAAAAGAGGATAACATTTTATTTATTTTGAAAATTAATGACAAATGATAATGCTTATGGTTACTTCACGTTAAATCACCTGTTCACGTACGATCACCGAAGTTAAGCAACGTCGAGCCTAGTCACTACTTAGATGGATGACCGCTTGAGAGTACCAGGTGCTGTCAGCCTAGATTTACTAATGGATAATGGAATTTTTAATAGGTTGGGTTTGTCATATTCACTTACGCGTAAATACCGTTTGGAAAAGTATAGATCCACCTCTTCTATCCCTAGTCATGGCTTAATTCGTAAAACTTTTATAACTAAATCAATATTATCTAATCCAAAATATTATTACAATCTGAAACTATTTTCTGGCTTTAAATAATCTGCCAAGCGTTGATAAATTGTAGAAAACGAAAGGCAAAAAAGAAATGATAATTTGAGACCAAGGAGACAAAATTTAATTTTCTGTTTAGTTTCCAGCCACAGCAAAAAGTGAGAACCCACCCTGTGAATAAGTTATTCCGTTATACTTTAAAATGAACTCGCTTTGTTTATTTTATCTCGTTAGCCATTTCCAATTTGTTTTTTAAAGCCAGTTTCATTTTTGATTTCAGCTTAAAAACGACCCGACAAAGTTGGGATAAATCTTGTTTATTGTTTTACCGGCAATGTCGCCTTACACGAAACACAAGTTACTCGGGACCGGCGCATTTGGCTCTGTATACCTCGTTACTTCAACTTCCGAACAGAAATTCGCCATGAAAGAAATCAAAGGTGGTCGTTCAGACACAGAATCTCGTAAAGAAATCGACTTTCTTCGTCGTCTGCGTCATCCGCTAATCGTATCGTACGTCGACTCTTTTACCAGCCAAGGCGATTTGTGTATCGTGATGGAATATTGCGACTGGGGTGATCTTAGCCAGGTGATCGACTGGAAGCGATCTTCTAAAAGCTCCTTCTTCGACTATCAAATCTTGGCCTTTTTCAGTCAGATAGCCGTGGCGGTGGAATATATTCATAGTAAAAACATAATCCATCGTGACTTGAAACCCAAAAATATATTCTTACATAAGAACATGATAAAAATCGGCGATTTTGGTGTAGCTCGTCAGCTGTCCTCCCGGGCTGACTTGGCTTACACTGTTGCTGGGACACCTATATATATGTCACCCGAGGTGCTCAAACGTGCTCCATATACGAGGAAAGCTGATATTTGGTCATTAGGCGTTATGCTCTATGAAATGATAACCTTAGTAACTCCTTTCACTAGCTTATGGGAGGTAGTTAGGGGTAAATTCGAACCTTTGCCGTCGTGGGTTGGGGAGAAACTGAGACGTTTGGTGTTGTCTATGTTACAAATAGACCCGGAGCAGCGACCTTCAATAACTACTCTTATCTCGAAGTCGTGTCTTTCTGCGACAATCATGTCTGACGTAAGCCTCGAAAAAATTAGGAGGAATAACATGATAGACGGAGTTTTTTCGCCACTTGTTAAGTGTCGGTCACCATCTCCAAGACCGTCACCCCGGGCAAATGAATCGAGTCTTCTGAATCTTTTAATGGACTTTTTTTCCATAAGTCACGTTTAATTTCGTAGTCATATAAAAGTGACTCGTTCGGAACGCTCGCAAATAGTCTAAGGTGTTTTCTTATTCATACACATTTTATTCACCCTATATCAAATTTTTGTTTCGCTTGGTGATCATGTTTGATTTAAATATTGAAATGTTTTTCAACTTTATTTTAACCGTTTATGGGATTAAATGATTATTTTAATAACTATGTATTTGTTAAAGCTCTCCTCATGTCAAAAATAAATTCATAGCCTAATGTTGATTCCTCGTTTTGTTAACGAGGATAAAGAATATTTAATATAGCACGAGCCTTAAGCAAATAAATTAGTGTTTAAGATTTTTCAAAAATTGTATGGAAATTTAATTTCAGATTATGAATAACGTTCTTGGCTAATTTTCTCTCTTCGAAGCATAAGAACGCATATATATATATATGTATATAGAGAGGAAGTTTTGGGGGGGAAAGCTGTGCACAAGTTTTCGTGTGACTCGTTTCGTCCCTTAAGATTTCATTGGATTAGGTTGGTTTTTCGTCGACGCAACAACGCTGGGAACTTTAAATGTGGAAATTTTGTTTTTGGTATATAATTTAGCAAATTTAATTTAGATTATTTTTCCTTTTTGTTTGTCATATTTGTTATTAGATATTCCACACTGTGATAACAGATCTGCCAAGATGAAACGTAGGAAACTGAATGCAAAGATACTGTGGATGAAGAAGCGCGATTAAAGCACAATTATGACATAAAATGATTTTCTGATGAAGAGAAAATAATTCACTAAGACGAAAATATCTAGAAAATACTTGAATCGTTATTTTATATATATATATATATATATATATATATACCGCCTACTTGATGATTGCATGAAATTTTTTATGGTTCAACCGGAAGTGTTTGTTTTTTAATTTTGTATATACAGTGTAACCCGGATATAAGAGTTGTCGGGACCGGAGAAGACGTCTCTCATATCCGGGTTTGGTCTATTTTATATACATTAACACAGGCTCTAATTTGGGACCAGAGAAAATCTCTCTTATATCCGGATTACACTGTATTGGTTAAGACTATTTTCAAGTTGATTTTTAAGTCTTACATGCTAGGAACATCTTTCTCTCTTTTTCTTTTCTTTTTCGGAATTTTATATAACAAAAGTCCACCATAAAATTTTACTGCGACATGTAGAGAGGACTTGCCTACCTTGAAAATCATTACAATTTTTATTTCAACTCCCCCCTTGTTTCTACGGTCATGCGATAAAAAATCTTATCTTCCGAATGAAAATAGATCAATAATATTTTTGCGGAGTCATGATTTTTTTTTTTCTTCAGCAAATTTCGGACAATGGTTCCCTTTCCGTCACTACGAATTGAGCAGGATCCTGTTCACTAAGACGAAAATATCTTTTCTCGCTTGGTACGTTGTCAGCCATTTATAAAGTGACACCGCATTATTATTCTTTTATAATTTCATTTTTTTTTTTTTTTTTGTTGTTTTGTTTGCTCACTTTAGGAAATACAAAGAAAGATTCACAATTTACAAAAAAAGAAATCATACGCATGACACACTCATTGCGTATTAATGATTACCAAGATACAATGGGTGCTGCCTAATTGCTCTTCAATTAACTTAATCAGTTTTATCCGTATATTTCAATACACTTCCAAAATTTTAAATATGTTCCATGGCTGTGTGACCGGAACAAGCATGTATTTTTTAATTTTATTTTTATTTTATTTTTTTATTTTTTTTTTTTTTAATAAGCAACTTCGAATTTTGTACAGTTGCTTAATTTTAAGAATTTGTACTGAAATTGCTTAAATGATTGGATGTTTTTAGGCTTCGGTCTAACAAATAGAAAACATTTCACTGTAACTGAACTGTCACAATTCTTGGATATAGAATAAAATTTGTTTAAATGTCTTTCGATTTTTTAAAAAATCGAATTCTGTCCAAGCAAGGCAGTAAAACCACAAGGGGTTACTAATAAGAGTCGGTCGTGGTTGGCCATTGTGCTGTCAACGTTGGGGGTCATCGAACTTACGGTTACATATAGCCAATTCAATAGATAACCATTGCATTTAAATTTCTGAAGATCAAATTTGAGATGTTATTTACTATTTATTTATTATTTTCCTCAATATAAGTAGATAGGTACGCCTATCATCTAGTTGACATTCCTCTCCGGTCCTTTTGGACAGGGGTAGAGGTTCACAACACCGGCGAGGAGTGTGAACTGGATGAGAGGCGAACCTATCTACTCCTATTGAGGAAAATAATAACAAACAGTAAATAACATTTCAGAGTCGTTAGAAATATCGAGTTGAAGTAGACTTTAGAAGGAACTGGAAACCCAATCTTAAACAGAGAACAAGCGGAAAACATCTAGTTCTGTTCAAAAGACCGGTGAGGACTGTTAACCAGACGATAGGCGAACTTAACTACTACTATCAGTTTAAAAATTCTCACTAGCATGTTTATTCCAAACGGCATTTTTATTTGGTACAAGAGTCGCTAATTAAGCATTTCCTAATTAACAATGTTCTTCAAATCCAAGGCAAATTGGGTTCGGAAAAAACGATGAATTTAGCTTTCATTGTTGAGGTACATGATGTATTTAAGTGAACGAACGAATTCAACCTATTCCACGTGAATGTACTCGAAACCATTATGGCATCATGACCAGCCTGCACGATGCCTTTTTGACAAGTTTTGTCTATTGTGTTAATTAAGTGCATCCAGGTGGGCCTTCTGAATTTTGAACTGACTTGCTGAATATGCGTTCAGTCCGTTCTGCATTGAATGTGGATGTGATTTGAGCCAATGTTTCTCCAGCTGGATACCACTGTTAATCACTAGGAAGGACCCGTGGTCGGCCATTGTGCTCTCAACGTTGGGGTCATCGAAATTACGGTTACATATAGCCAATTCAACTGGGAATTGATGAGACCTTGCTGCCAATCAAGTGATGTGCTTAAATTCATAAAGTCTAGGTACCATAGCGTATAGTTCATCTGACAAGTTACAATGAAAGTATTTATAGAAAAGGCACAGGGAAGTTTCATTACGGAGGTGGGGAAATGACTGAAGCCGAGACGCCAAGCCAGGACCAATAATATTGCTAAACCTATAATTAATACCGAACTTTTTAAATATTAATACTGAGCCTTTTTAGAATGATTTAATTATAAACGAATTTAAAAAAAAATTCTATTAAAAAAACAAAAAAAAAACGGGATTTTACGGTGGACATTAATGTGTTAGCAACACAGAGGGAGAAAGCATAAACTGTAAAAAGCAAGATTAGTCATGAGGCTATAATCATAAACCCGCCAAGACTTATATTAAATAAAATATTTTTCAGCCTAGGAAATGGTGCATTAAATGTATTCAATAATAAATAAACATAAGGACTCAATTTATATAATACCGCAAGCGGCTTTTTATTTGTTGTAAGTGGCACATAATCGACGTCACACATTGTTAAATTTATAATGTTCTAAACATTAGACAAGATGGGGAAATGCATTAAAATTTTCTTGAATTTAAAAAGTATTTTGCATACATATTTTTCTTGAACCAAAACAATATAAAAGTAGAACTAG